CTCGTTGGGCAGGTAGCTCAGCCAAACCTTGAGCCCCAGGCGCCACCGCATGGTCCTCCCCTCCGCCTCCCGCCCTACCCTCCACGTCACCTCCTCCGGCAGCTCGTCGCCGGCCACCACCAGCCCCCGCATCTTGCTGAACGCTCGCCCAGGACCCCCGTACCGGCGCCTCATGCCGCTGCGCGGGTCGGCCTCTCTGCTACCCGGGCGCCACGCCGACACCTCCGTCCCGGTGGCCGGGTCGCACAGCACGCCCTCGAACACGCCGGCGCTGCCCTCCGCCTCCTGCTCCCACCGCCAGCTCCGGTTCCGTGCCCGCGACGACGAGCGCATCTTCGCCTTCACCCTTGGGTCGCCGCCGAGCTTGTTGGCGCCCGCGAATGCCCCCTTTACGGTGCGCGTCGTCTCCACCTCCCGTTCCGGGTTCCCTGTCGACCGGCCAAGGCTCGGGCCCGTGGCGTAGGACGAGCCGAACCTGGGGCCGACCCAGAGCCGGATACGCGACGGGAAATGCCTCTCGCCGTCCAGGACATGGTCGTCGTCGACGTCGTCTTCCTGGGTGCCAGTGCCGCCCTTCTTGCGATACCCGAGCCGCACGACGCGCACCCGTATGTTGTCGACGCGCACGCCGACGACGATGAAGCTATCGCCGTGCACGGTCACCGCGTACTCCACCTGCACCACGGCCTCCAGCTGCTGGTGCACCAGGCCGTACCGCAGCGCCGGCTCCTCCGGCAGCTCATGAGGCAAGGCCGTGACCGTCGCCGTCGATGTCGCACCAGCGACGCGGGGGATGGCGAGCACCGGCGCGTACCCTCTCAGCACCCAGAGACCGTGCACGTTGGCGGCGTACGACAAGCACGCGACGTCGGGCTTGGCCGGCGACTTGGGCGCCGATTGCATCTCCCGCAGCAGGCACCACTTGGCCAGCATGTAGCCGAGCGACCGCATGAACCGCTCCTCGACGTCCGGGCCGACCGAGAGCAGGAGCGCGCCGAGCGCCGCCGGGGCGCAGCCGGCGAGGGCGCGCTCGATGTCTTTGCCAAGAGCCTGGAAGAAGAGAAATCCAAGGTCCGCGGGGGCCTCCAAAGCGCACAGCCAGAAGAGGCGCATGAGCAGAGCCAGCGAGAAGAAGGGGGAGCCATCAGTGCCCGTGGCCGCGATGACGGCAGACACGACCTCCTCATCCAGCTTCCACTCCGGCGGCGACGTGTCCGGCTCTCTGCTCAAGGAAGTGATGGACGGCGAGAGCGCGGTCACCTCGTCGAGCAGCTGGGCCAGCAGCAGCAGCCGCGGGGCGACCTCGGAGCCTGCCGCGAATCCCTCGGACGACCAGAGCACGCGGCGTGCCACGCCGTTGGCACTGTCTGCGGCGATGGAGAAAGCGACGACGGCCGTACCGCCGTCCGCGGTGGCGGTGCAGTCGGCCTGCAGGACGATGGAGGCGCCCTCGGCCTCGGGGGAGGCGGCGAGGGGGATGGATGCCGTGCCGTTGCCGGTGCCGGGAGGAGGGAGGGTGCCCAGCCACGGCCACACCTCGTCCATGGGTTGTGGCTAGGAGGAAGACCGGATACGTGGGCGTGATGGCGCGCGCGGGCTGTGTGCTTCTGTGGCGTGCCGTTGTTCGGTGTAGCTTCTGGCACGAAATGGAGGTTTGGTTGGTTTGGAATGTGGAGGCCCTGTTGCCCACATAGGGCACGACGTGGACTAGCAGATGCGAACAACCGCCTGACATCTGGCTATTTCTTGTGTGTTCATGTTCTCAACTGCCAAAATGGGCTAACAATTAAACACTCGACTAGATAAGAAATTGAGTTCAGCCCAACTCCCCTTCCGCCATCAGATACACATCTAACGAATATGGGTGAGTGTATATATGATGTACGAGCATTTGTGTCTGTACAGTGTTAAAAAAATACAAATCTAATGGATGTGCGTATGTACGAGCGTCTGTGTGTTAAAAAAATACCGACCTAACGGATTGTAGTATTCTTCCTCCTCCTTCGATGTCGGTCTGCCAACCCGTCCTGAGACTCTGACGCCGGCTTCCACCCTCCATGGCCAACGGTGTTGTCGTATGTATCTCTCCGCCTCGTCTTGTGTGAGTCGCTGCCCCTCAGCCTTTCCTTAAAGCCTTACCGTACACCACGCCGATGGCTACCCCGCACCCGAACCAATCTAGAACTATGTCGTCGCCCGTTCTTGATGGTGTTCCTATCTCAGCCTCCGGGCTGCGCTTTGTTGGAATTTGACTGAGCGCATAGAAATTTTCAGGTGACCGCAGAGGGATGCACTATGTGTAGTTACCTAAAAATGATTAGCAGTCATTCACTTTTTACCGTTGGCGTACACACAGGAAAGCCCAACATCGGGACCGGGCTTCAGGCATGCATTTTACATGTTGGATCTTCGAGTTGACACCCCATGACGGCCCATCTTGGCAGCCATAAACCACATGAATGCAAGTTTTGCATGCTGGGTGATCCTACTACGTAGCAAATCTTGAATTGAGATTCATGACGAAACGATGTTTTTCAAATTTCTAATGCAAAATTTAAGTGTCACATGATCATACCACAGGCAAAAATTAAATAATACAACAACTTGACAGGAGCCTGAATTGTTTTGGGAATTTACTCAAATCGCTCTCCACCTACCGATCAAGATCCAAAGGCTCAACCGCCTTCTACTTTCTCAAGCCTTCTTAGTCCACCTATAATAATACTAAATCAAAAAAATGAAGTTTTTCAAGAGAGAATGAATTAGTGGCATTGTATTACACTTAAATAAGAAAGGAAAGGGGAAAAAAGACAAAATTTGTGCACACTCGGAAAATTGTGCTTTTTATGCAAGAATAAGCATATAATAGTGGATTTTTCAAAGAAAAAAAAGGGAATTTTCTAAGAAGGAATAGATTAGTGACATTGATATCACCCTTAAAAAGGAAAAAAGGAAATTAAAACAAAAATAAAATAAAATAATAAAAATTCCTACAAAAGAATGAATTACTGGCATTTGTATTATCTTTTAAAAAGAAATAAAATAAAAAATTGCACACAAATTTAAACTAAAACTCTACTTTTTAAATATGCAAAAAATAAGTACATAGTGCAAGTTTCTTACTCTACATAATTTACACACATATTCACGCACAAGAATAAAATGATGTTTTCTAAAAAAGAATAAATTAGTAGCATTGGTATTACCCTTAAAGGACAAAGAAAATAAAAAAACAAATCATAACATAATTTGCACACAATTTACACATAAATTATGTTTTCTATAATATGCAAGAATAACCATATACAATATAAAAAATCACAAAAAATAAGTTCAGAAAGAATGAGTTAGTGGCATTGGTGTTGCCCCTAAAGAAGAAAGAAAATGAAACAAAATAAAAACAAAATAATAAATAAAGTTTTCTAAAGAAAAATGAATTAGTGGCATTGGTATTATCATTTAAGAAGAAATAACAAGAAAAAAAACTGCAGACAACTTTGTATTGAAATTACACTTTTTGTAATATACATAGGTAAACATATAATAGTGCAATTTCACATTTTAATATATACTCCCTCCGTTCCTAAATACTTGTCTTTCTAGAGATTTCAACAAGTGACTACATACGGCGCAAAATGAGTGAATCTACACTTTAAAATATGTCTACATACATCCGTATGTTGAGTCCATTTGAAATGCCTAGAAAGACAAGTATTTGGGAACGGAGGGAGTACACATATTTGATAGTACTTGTGTGTGTACATTTTCACACACCAACATCTCAAAAATACTCATAAAAAATAAGAAAAACGACTAAAACAAAAACAAAAGCAAAAAAACATAAAAACAAGAAGAAAATAAAGGCAACGGGTAACGGGCTTCAACCCAATAAGCAAAAACAGGGGCAAGTCGAAAATTCAGCCCAGGGAGTTATGAAATAACTCAAGGGGAGGAAAAAAGACTTGAATCTTGACAAAAGATTGAACGATCAAAGAATGTACTCCCTCCGTCCCAAAATTCTTGTCTTAGATTTGCCTAGATACGGATGTACACATACATCCGTATCTAGGCAAATCTAAGACAAGAATTTTGGGACGGAGGGAGTATATTGCTAAGGTGGACTGCAGAATACTAGCTATCTGACTTGTTTTGCTTAATTAACAGTGTAATCCATACATTTGACAAAAGGATTAATTGCACGCCAATTTTCATGAATTAAGACTATCCAATGCTTAATTACATGATGATTCCACAAATTAATAGCCGGATCACTTGCCATATTATCTGCCCTCAACTTTCAATGCGTGCAAGCAGCGGAAAATCTTAGGTCCTGCTCATGAAGCAGAGCATTGCAGATAGATGCCCATGTTTTTGCACTCAGAAACCAAATACCACCTATGCAAATTCATATCAAAGTATCTCAATATCATTACTCAACCCATGATTGAAGGAAGAACTAGATCAAAGCATGATCAGTACTAGTAATAATCAGAGCAAAAGGATTCAAATTTCACATTAGCAACATAATTGGCAAAATGGCAACATCAATATCAATCAACAGCATCTGGGCATTTGCACGATGAAATGGCATCCATATCAAGGAATTTGAAGATGCCTCAAAGCGTAGTTTAGCAAAAAAGACAGTCAGGAAGCATATAGCTGAATTCAATTAGCAAGCATGCTCCCACCCCCAATCCCCCCATCTTGCAGCCTGCAACCATATTTACACACAGATCAACTGCAACTAGCAGCAATCAAGACTCAAAGGCCACCACAAAACTATTGCATTGTTACCTGGCTGGTCATACTATTAGACTAGTTTCTCATGTCATCCAATTTTTTCTCAGGACATCATCAAAAAAGTTAAGAACATTACCAGTAGTTGCACAGCAGGATCATCTGCATAACTTAGCTGCAGAAGATTTTCAGTCCTAATGATGGCAAAGGCTACTCAGTAATCTCTTCTCCCTGTCAAAACTTCACTGCAACCCTGGGTGGAGTCAGACGACCAGGTTGCCGAACGGTGCCCGGTGCGGGATGCCCTTGCGCCGGTGTGCAGGCGGCGGCGGTGGTGGCGTCGAGGTCTGGTCGGCGGCATTGCGCGGCGGGGAGGAAGGGGAGGAGGCGCTGCGGTCGTGGCGGCAGCCAGGGAACTTGCAGCTGAGCGAGCAGAAGCGGAAGGCCTCGAGCAGGCCGCGGCCACAGCCGCACTGGTTGACGAAGCTCCAGGCGCTGCGGGCGTGCCTCTGCTGCGGGCCGCGCTCTCTGAGGAAGACGACGCGCGCGCCGTTGATGACGTAGGTCTGCACGCCGTCGACGTCCAGGAGGCCCTGGACGTCCGACACGATGAGCACGCTGCTGTAGGTGGAGCGGCGGACCCGGATGACGTGGTGGCCGCGGTGGCCATGGTCGGCGCACAGGGAGCAGAGCGCGCCGGCGACGGCGGCGCAGTCGAGGCAGAACATGGTGCGCACGCCGCCCCGGCGCGAGTCAGGGTGCGTCTTGCACGGCGTGTAGAAGCGCGCGGACATCATGGGGCGCAGCCACCGAGGCCACCGCTCGCCGTCCGCCGACGCTACCTGCTCCTGCTCCTCCACCTCCTCCGCAGACTTCTCGTCCTCCTCAGCCTCCTCCTCCTCCACCTCCGCAACCTCCTCATCCTCCTCAACCTCCTCCAGCTCCTCCTCCTCCTCCGGTTCAGCGCCGTCATCGTCCTGCAGACGACAACAACAAGATTGTTCAGAGACATTGCTCTCCTTGAAAATGGAAACCAGCATGGCCATGCACACAACGTGTTCGTCCGTGGGAATCAGCCGAAGGAGAAGCAGTTACGAACAGATTACCCGGCCAGGATTTCATACATTTCGAACAACAATTACCAGAATTTGAAGACTAGAAGTTGCACAGCAGGAATGAACGCAAGAACATAAATCGAACCCCTAAAAGCGGTGGCAGAGGACAAATGAGGGTTTAATAAAGAAGAGGGAAAAACACCGATCTTTCCGAGATGGCGAGATCGATCTTCCATCCAACGCCATTTCACTGCTCCCAGGATCCACCCAACAGCCTCGACACCAGCAATCCGCCCAATGCAGCAGTAACGCACGGAAAAGGAAGGAGGACGATGACAGATCAAGAAACGGTTTCGTTCCTTCCCGGAGTGGAGCACGAGGAATCAAGAAGGCGGAGCACAGGTGGGGGGAGGAGCGAGCAAGAAATGGGGAATGGCGTGGCGGGAGGGTACCATGCTGCGGCGGTCCTTGGGGAGGAGCTCCTTGCAGGGGGAGTCGTGGTCGATCGCCATGGCGGCTGGGCGTGACACGCGCCGCGCGGCGAGGGCGGAGGAAAAGGTGGGGCGCCGCGGGGGGAATCCAAGAGCCGGCGGATTGGTGGGTTGGGTGGACTCCGGAAGCAGAGCCGCGGCTCGGCTGGCTGACTTGTAGTGGAAGTGGTGGGCCGGGCTTGCATTGATGGGCTCTCTCTTTCTTGAGGGGAAGAGCGGCAGTGTGAGCGAAAGCTTGATGCCGCCTCTGGTCGACTCTTGTCCTTCAAAACATCATCCAAGTTAGATAATGTTGTTGAAGAAATGATTGGTTTGCCGTTTGCAAGATGAAAAATATGTCGTCCTCCCGGAAAAGAAGGCGGTGAAAAGGGTTGGACGACCACCCCGGATCTAATCAAGCGCGTCAAAGAAAAGAGGGTGGCTAGGTGCGGGGAGCAACGGCGCAGCCACCGTGCACAAGAGGGGAAGAGCACGATAGGACCCCTATCAGAGTCGTGTATGGCCCCGATCAGCATAATAACAATCAGTATGATGATTTTTGGCTAAAATGACACTCTAGTAGAGTCGCCGCATGGGTGCCGATCGAAATAGTTTATGTAGCTAAACGACCTCGTGGCCTTCATATTTGAAGTCTGAGGAGGCTAGCATGGAACTCGCTCCATAAAACAACCACCGGCCTGGAGGGAAGTTTCAGCTTCTACTTCCTAGCCATGGTCGGGTTTGAAGCGCGACACCATACACGCATCATTGTGTCCCGGTTAATCACCGGTGAGTGGGCGACGTGACCGGTAGCCAACGATCCATTAATGGCGTCCACCGCTCCCCCAAATTCCTCGAGACGGTTGTTCGAATGGCCACGCGACTTCGTCCTCGACTATAAAAGCCTGTCGGCAGGGCGTCACCATCACAAACGTTCTGGCACCCATCCCACCTCCTCCTCACTGCCTCCTCCCCTCACATATCCTCATTTCTCAACGACGATGTCGACACGCTAGAACGCAACCTACTGGCTGAATGTGGTGGCGAAGTGGAAGGTCTTATCGACGATGATGTGTAACCGCGGGGGCAAACTCTCTCCACGATGCACCAGCTATGGAAACCATTGGCTCCTCCCGCACCGGCGGCCGACCTGACAGTCACTTGGTAACATACATAGTATAGGTAGCAATGTCGCTACTCGAATAGCGGCATTGCTCAGGTTAAAATTGTAAGCTTTGGTATGTCTAATCTGAGCTTAAATTACCCCTCCATTTTTTTTAAATGACAAGAAATTAAAAAAATGAGAACATATGGAAGCAGAATTGTGACAACTCTGTGTTTATGCCCGCCCGCCGTGGTTTCTATATCCATATGGACCACACAAGCATCTTCTATCGCATGCTTAGTCTTAAACCCTCTGTGGCTGATGTGCTTGTACCCTGATAATTGTTCGTTGCAAACTTTTCATAAATTGTAAATCCCTGGAGCCTTCCCGATGAACACCGCGCATACCACTTGTCCTAGCAGTGCATAATAGCAATAGTTGAAGCAACAAGCAATGAAGCACACAAGCAGCAAGCAATTGAGCACACAAACAACAAGCAATAGAGCAGAAGAGCAGTAGTAAGCATGCATGATCATACGTCATAGCAAGTTCAACCTAGCACTACTATGGTGTCATCCTACCACCACATTCAAAAGAGGGTGTAATTCTACCGGTGCAAGTTCACCATCATCATGAGGGGTTAATATACACCACCTCAACAAAATATATATACCATCAAATAGTTTTCAAGCCCTAACTATACAAAGAGTACGTAATGGGCCTAATGGGCGCGTTAGTCTTAGGGTTAATTAGAGATAAGGGTCATTTGCTTAGGGGGTCAAGTAAGCCTTGCTTGGAAGTCATTTGCTTACGTACTCTAACACTCTATATAAAGAGAAGAGATGTATCAATCTAATCAAGCAAGAATTAAGAAGGAAATCCCTTCCATCTTGCCCGGCCGTGGGCAAAAAAAGGCCCCCGGCCGGCCCTCTCGCGCCCTCCTTCTAGCAGCGCCATAACAGTTTGGTATCAGCTAGCTTCGGTTCGATCATGTCTTCACCGCCGCCAACCCCCTTTCTCCCGCTGCCAACCTCCACCACCGCGTCGCTGTCCATCACCTCCGCGCCGCTGGACTCCACCGCCGGCGACTCCATCGGCCAGATACCTCTCTCCATCGCGCCCCCTGCCGCCGTCTTCACCCCGGAGCAGGTCACCGGGGTCCTCAACGACCTGGTCACAGCGGTCCAGGGGATCCGGTTGTACTTAGCCAGTCCCTACGGGCCGCCGCCACCCCCGTCGCCGGCCGCCACCACTGGTCCACCGGCCCTGCCATGGTGCCCGCCACCCGCGGCGCTCGCGGGACCGCTGCAGCTGCAGCCACCGCCCGCTGCCACCCTGCAGTGGCTGCATTGGCCATCGCCGACCCTCGCGGTGCCCCCCGCGCCCATCGCCGCCCCCGCGCTGCCATGGTTGTCGTGGCAGCCGCCGCACCAGGCGGCCTCCGCCCCACCCTGGTTGTGGCAGCCGCCGCTCCTGGCGGCCTCCACCGCGCCCGGCGCTCCGCGGCAGCAGCCGCTGCTACTACCCCAGGGCGTCCCCGCTGCGCTCGCCGGGCCGCTGCAGCAGCCGCTGCAGCTACCATCCACCGCCGCCACCGCCCCGCCCTGCCTGCAGTGGCAGCTGCCGCTCCTGGCGGCCTCCGCCGTGCCCGGCGCTCCGCTACAGCAGCCACCGCCGGTTAGCTCCGGCCCCGTATCGACCACGCCGGCAGGAATCCCGATCCACCAGATCAAGTTCCCACCGTCGCCATCACCGCTTCCCCAGGGCGTCCCCATCCAGCAGATCAAGTTCCCGCCGTCGCCATCACCGCTTCCGGCTTGGATCACTACCCGCCACGTGTCGGCAGCGGTGAGGCTGCAGGCTGCTGCGCGCGGCCTCCTAGCGCATCGGCGTGTGCGGGAGATGCGTGGTCTGCAGCTGCAGCTCCTCCCAGCTACGCTTCGCTGCGCAAAGGACCTCGCTCTCGTCCGCTGCATCGAGGATCTAGGGCATGCTGTTTTTCCCGCGGGCAGCGACCTCAAAGTTTGCGACATCGACGGTTGGGGGGCGCACCCCTCCTCGTCATTCTCTATCGCAAGCCCTCCACTCTTCCCTGTGCGGTGCAGACCAACAGCCGTCCGGCAGGGAGAAGGCATGGTGTCACCGACAGGAGCACACCGCGTAGCACAACTGCATTCCGCCATCGGCCGCCGCGACGGCGCCTCTGCTGTTCACTCTTGCGACCACTTCCAGGTGGCCATACACATGCACTCCTTTTGTTCAGGTGGTGTCCATGGGATCCAGGTGGTTGTACATGTGCACGTCCAACGTGATGATGGTGTCCACTTTTTGTTAAGGGGTCCAAAATAAAGCGTCCTAGTCCATTTCAGGTTGATAATAATAAACAAGCCGAGATGTTAAAGGCTTGTTTTTAGGTGTTAGGTTTGTGTTGCATCGAGTCATGGTTATAAGTTGGTTAGGCTGCAGGTCGAGGACAAGCTGCATGTCCAGGTGGGGTGTAGTGTTAGAGTACGTAATGGGCCTAATGGGCGCGTTAGTCTTAGGGTTAATTAGAGATAAGGGTCGTTTGCTTAGGGGGTCAAGTAAGCCTTGCTTGGAAGTCAAGTAAACCTCTCTATATAAAGAGAGGAGATGTATCAATCTAATCAAGCAAGAATTAAGAAGGAAATCCCTTCCCTCTTGCCCGGCCGTGGGCAAAAAAGGCCCCCGGCCGGCCCTCTCGCGCCCTCCTTCTAGCAGCGCCATAACAGCTAGCTTCGGTAGAGAGAGAGCCGGCCGGGGCCTTTTTGCCCACGGCCGGGCAAGAGGGAAGGGATTTCCTTCTTAATTCTTGCTTGATTAGATTGATACATCTCCTCTCTTTATATAGAAAGGTTTACTTGACTCCCAAGCAAGGCTTACTTGACCCCTAAGAAAGCGACCCTTATCTCTAATTAACCCTAAGACTAATGGGCTATACCGCCAGCCCAGGCCCATTACGTACTCTAACACTACACCCCACCTGGACATGCAGCTTGTCCTCGAGCTGCAGCCTAACCAACTTATAACCATGACTCGACGCAACACAAACCTAACACCTAAAAACAAGCCTTTTACATCTCGGCTTGTGTTATTACTCTCAAACTGAAATAGACTAGGACGCTTTATTTTGGATGTGCATGTGTACAGCCACCTGGATCCCATGGACACCACCTGGACAAAAGAAGTGCATGTGTATGGTTGTTGCTCTGCACTGCACAGGGAAGAGTGGAGGGCTTGCGATGGAGAATGTCGAGGAGGGGTGCGCCCCCCCCAACCGCTGACGTCGCGGACTTTGAGGTCGCTGCCCACGGGGAAAACAGCATGCCCGCCGCCCGTGGGGGAAACCGCATGCCCAAGATCCCCGACGCAGCGGACGAGATCGAGGTCCTTTGCACAGCGAAGGGCAACTTGGAGGAGCGGCAGCTGCAGACCACGCATCTCCTGCACACGCCAACGCGCTAGGAGGCCGCGCGCAGCAGCCTGCAGCCTCACTGCCGTCGATACGTGGCGGGTAGCGGTCCAAGACGGAAGCGGTGACTGCGGCGGCGGGGACTTGATCTGCTGGATGTGGACGCCCTGGGATGGCGGCGGCGCTGATGGGAACAAGGTCATCGCAGTCCCGTCATAAGGCATCCCATACTGGGCGGCGGAGCTGACTGGCGGTGGCTGCTGCGGTGTCGCGCCGGGCAGCGGCAGCGGCTGCTGCGGCAAAGCGTCGGACGCGGCGGAGGCCGCTAGGAGCGGCGGCTGTCACTGCAGCCAGGGCTGGGCGGTGGTGGCGATGGATGGCAGCTGTAGCGGCCCGGCGAAGGCCGCCTGGTGCGGCGGCTGCCACGGCAGCCACGACGGCACGGGGACGGCGATGGGCGGTGCAGCCGGGGGCGGCCCGTAGGACCCGGCCAAGAACATGTGGATCTGCTGGACCACCTGGGTTAGGTCCCGCAGAGCCCCGAACACCTCCTCCGGGGTGAGGACGGCGGGGGCGGGCGCGACGGAGGATCCCGGCGCGGGCAGGAGCGGGGCAATGGTCGTGGTGGTCGCCGGAGGCGACGAGGTGACCGGCAGCGGAAGAGACGGGCTTGGCGGCGGTGAAGGCATGATCGAACCGAAGCTAGCTGATACCAAATTGTAATGGCGCTGCTAGAAGGAGGGCGCGAGAGAGCCAGCCGGGGGCCTTTTTGCCCACGGCCGGGCAAGAGGGAACGAATTTTCTTCTTAATTCTTGCTTGATTAGATTGATACATCTCCTCTCTTTATATAGAGAGGTTTACTTGACTCCCAAGCAAGGCTTACTTGACCCCTAAGAAAGCGACCCTTATCTCTAATTAACCCTAAGACTAACGGGCTATACCGCCAGCCCAGGCCCATTACGTACTCTAACAGTTGTCATCATCATCATCGTCGCCATCTCTGTCGCCGTCGAGGATCATGCATGTGGTAACCAGAGGCAGCACTACATCTAGTGGTAGTGCTGGCACAGCCAGCTCCTGAGTCATAGCCCCTTGTGAGCGTCTGCCATGGCAACTGTAAGTGCATCAAGTGCCCCCTTAGTGATTCTGAAGTATTAAAGACAAATGGGTTAACGGCCTAATGTGTTTGTGAGTGTACACAGTGAAGATTTGGTTTAACCCATGGAAGACGACCCCCAAAAATGTATTTCTTCAATTGCAGAGCTTGGTGATGAAATTGGTACGACATTTGAAGAAATTGACGTGAAAACTTTGAAGCATGAAGACTTTTGTTTTTGTAGTTTCTCTCTTCTTATTTTGAATCATAGGACAAATCATACTGTTAAAGGGGGTCTAGGTGAATCATTGTTCAAATTTTCAAGGTGATGCTCTAACCTATACATACACAAGCAGCTTCGAGTGAAGCCTTTGGAAATCTCCTAAACAGCTGACGAATTAGCTAGCGACAGTGATGAAGTTCATCTAGTCACTCACGAATTGGGTCAGGCTAAGGAGTTAGGATTTCGCCAGTGCGATCTGCCTATCGTGAGGAAATTGAGTGCCCCGACGAAATTGAGAGTTTAATTTTTTGACCGTTCCTGCATCGCGTGCCAGCTATCGAGTGCATCCTTATCCTTACAACAGTCATGTCTGAAAAGTGCATTTATGAAAATTCATGTTGTGCTTACCCTCTGCTATAAATAGCCGTCCCCCACAACCACTTGTTGGTTCGCTGCTCTGGAGAGAACTTGACACTGTCATTTGAGAGCAACCCATCCTCTGACGACTTTGAGAGAATGCTAAGTGAGAAAAAAAAACCAACTAGAGCCAAAGTGATTGATCTGTGTGATTCGACGCCCGTTACCTTTGAAGATTGTCATTCTTTTGGACGGTTAGGTGTCATGTTCTGAGCACCCAAGAGTCATTGCGGTGTGTCGGTGAACAAGTCTGTGAAGGTTTTGGAAGTCTACCTTGAAGACTTATCACGAGTGATTGAGCGAGGTCTAAGTGACCTTGGCTCAAGAGGGATATGATGAGGACTAAGTGTCATTTGAGTTCGTCTCAGCCGCCTCAACCAGACGTACAATTAATACAGCAACTGAAACTGGTCTACCAAATTATTGTGTCTTCACCGAGCCTATATGGTTTGAAATTCCTCATCCCTAACTTTACTTTATTCCGCTGCTGAAGAATTTGTGATCTACCTTCTGATGAATTTGAAGTGGAGTCTTTTATCATGTTGTCTTTAATTTCTTCAGTTCATCTTCATCATGCTTGTATGCATGTATGATTGCATGTTCTTCACCTATATGTATCTTGTATGCATGATTTCCGTTGTTGTGATGAATTAATTGCCTCGCATTTCTATTTCTTCATTCTGATATTCGTCAAATTCTTCAGAGTTTGACAAGTTTTTAAAAATCTCTCATTCAACCCCCCCCCCCCTCCCGGGAGTTAACCTGCGCTTTCAGCAATAAAACCAACACCTTGGTTCTTGTTGTCCAGCATGTGGCTCATAGCAGCCATCAGAGCCTCCTGGTTGAAGTCACCTTGGTCCATGACGACCGTGTACAACTCGGGGTGCACGTCGAGGGACTTGCTCTCCCTGATGACAGTTGCCACCTCCTTCACGGCCTTAGTCATGCTGGTGAAGACACTGATCTCCTCCATCAAGCCGCCCTTTTTCTCTTCTATCAAGCACAGGGACGTGCTCAAGAGGGCCTGTTAGGGCCATCAAGGACTGCCTATGTGTCCGGGGTCTCTGGAAACTCAGGCATAGGCGAAACGAGAGGCTCACCGAAGCTTATGGCATGCGTGTCGGTTGCCAGCCCAAGAAGAGGATGTGCTGGATCAGGTTGTAGTTCTGGATGGGTGTGTTGACGAACTCAACGTCTTTGGGCTGGTCCTAAGAAAGAAACAAAGCATTGTTAGTTGCAAGAAGCCAATGGTTGACAATGTGAAATACAAGGGGGCGTGAGCTAACCATAACGTGGCCGGTGTAGTGCTTTGCCTCCAGAATGATCAAGCAAGTGTTCTAATCCCATGAGGCGCCGCTAACGCTAAGGTCTCTAAGCTTGGACACTATGATCCATCGAGCTCTCCACTTCATGAGGCGGTTGTAGACCTGGATGAAGGTCACCTCCTGACAACAGAACTCGAACACCTGCTTCACAATGGTATTCAAGTGCACCTCCTTGAAGCTCTTGTCAGTCCTAACCCCACTAGATATGCATCTTGTTAAGCACGAACATGGACATGAGCAGCTACCACTTCATGTTGCCCCTACCATCCTTATTTGCCTTTGTTGATGTCATTTGTGCAACGGCAACAGCAACAACAACAACACTTGGCTGAGCGAGCACAAAGGTTGTAGGCACAAAAGGAGGACATGTGCCTAAAACCTCGAACACATCTGAATCAGCAGGCATCTGTTCATCGAGGGGCCTGGGAGTCCTCGACATAGGATAGAGGGAACTGGCTCTTGAACAGGACAAGGGTCTGACTAAGGTCTTGCGTTTGCGTGGTAATGTCCTACAATCGCAGCACACATTGACAATGAGCATGTCACACACTACCGGATAATTTAGCTCAACATAGCATGATATGAGCAGCAGACAACACTACTAGCTACCATTCCAGTGTATTCAACACTACTCTAGCATGCTACAAGATCACAGTCTCACATATCGGCACCCAAATACAACCCTAGCATATGCTACAAGATGCTCACCGATCAAACCCTACCACAAGCTCAAACATCAAACCCAAGAAGGCGGTGATTCTCACAGAGGTCATCACTGCAGCTCGAGGGAGACGCTGAAACAGTCGGAGAAGATGATGTAAGAGTCGTCGCCGCGTGGACTGCGGATGAGGAAGGAGCGCCGCTTACCTTTTCGTCCGTGCTGATGCGCGTCGACTGGGAGGCTCGAAAGGGGGGAGTAGGGTGACGAAAGTTTCGGCGATGAGGTGAAGGGGGCTATATAGGGCGAGCGAATCAGTGAGAGGAAGCAGCTACAGTAGAGACGTGGTGATAATAATATCTGGTAATATACTGGTTTCTTGGGGGTGAAGCTAGCAAGCACATGATGTGCCTGCCATTCCTGGCAAACCATATGACCCTACACTAGTACACACCGCCCTACCATCTTCCGCATTCACTACACGCTGCGTCCTTGTGTTGACAGACTGCCAGACTGGCGAGAAACCTGAGATGCGCTGTTCATCTCCGGTGCCAAACAGGGAGGCAGCCGGGACCGGTTTAATAAGCAGCAGCACAGACGGAAGCATCAGTCACAGTGATCCAGTAAGTAACTGCTCTTGCTGCAAGCACCTTGCCCATCATTCACGCTGCTCATCTCTTGGCCTCCCCTACGTTGCCTCCTCCGTAGGTCCATCGTCCAGACTATCCGAGATGAGATGAGCCTGGTTTACAAGGCCCTCTTCCTCTGGCATAAGCACCATCAGTTCTTCACAACCTCATCTACCATGGATGGTTCTTCGTCGTCGAAGTGCCATACCCGAATCCAGGCACGGCAGCCCGTGAACTGGAAACGGGGGAGGCAAGCAAGGGAGCACAAGATACTTGCATTGCATGGATTAGAAACAGGAAAGCACACTGCTGTCAACTTCGCCCCAGCAACAAACTAGGAGAAAAATTGCGCAAACCGTTTTAACTCGCTGCAAAAACTCACATGGCATGCGGCGTGCGCCCGCCCCTCGGTCCGCAGCCGATGATGCTCATGTCCAACATGACAGCCAAGTAAGCAATTTGCATTTTCCTGCAGGCAGGAGCTGGTTAAAGTGATAAAAGAATAAAATGGTAATGCTACAGAACAATCATGATCATCAGAAACACAAATGCAAAGAGAAGCACAACAAGGCACCATTTAACCAAAACTCCAGCAGGAGAGGAAGCTGCTGAGTTGAGCATCAACATTACCATATTACAATCATCTGTCTGTGAGGTTTCTGCATGCATGCATAAAACTGGATACATAAATAAATAACAAAGCCCCTTTGTCGCCTCTAGCAAACCTACAGCCACTGCTGGCAACATCCAAAAAAGAACTAAATCAAGTAAGATGATGGCGCTGCAGAAAAGAGTTAATCCCACGACAAAAGAAAGCCCTACGACGACACGACGACGATATGGACAGGAAAGCCATTCGCTTTCCCTACTGTTGTTTTAGTTCCTTCCATCCGAAGTTACAAAAACTAAATATGGTACAGGGAGAGAGAGCAAGAAAAGCATGCACTATTTGCCCGCCTAATGCTACTACTGGTGCTGCTGCTGCTACCTGTTTCCTATGTCTTTCCAGGGGTGGTCGGCGTCCTTGCCCAGGAACTTCGAGCTCGAGCCGTACTGCGCCTTGAGGGCCGCCACCGGGTCCGACACGGGGCTCACAAGGATCCCGGCGCCACCGAGCCACGCGGCTTTCCCGGGCTGCTGCTGCTGGAACCCTGAGATGAGCTCTATTCCGTTCCTCTTCTGGAGATCAGCGTAGCTTTCCAGCCGCTTCGGATCTGATGGAAGCTGCTGCCGCAAAGGCTGCTGGTACTCTGCTAATACACCCAGTGTGCCATTTTTAGCCGAGTAAAATGGCACGCTGGCCAATGATGATCTCTGGCATTTCGCTACCCTGAACAAAGACGACTCGGGCTGTACTGTGCTCCCATCCAGGTGAGTGTAGCTCCTCACCACTCGCTCGTCCTGCCCAAAGTGGGCAGTATTTGTGGGCCTAGATGAATAAACCATGCGATCCATTCCACTTCCCAACAATCCTGCTGCTGTCGTTGGCGGGGGAGGCTTGCTTCTAGTTACATTCGATGATGAGCCAGAACTTTGCAAGGATGATTGATGGCTCAGAATTTTCCCAAATAACTTTACATCACCAGGGCGCTTCACCTGATCACAACTCTCAGTGCTTGCCTTGTGGGAACAGGGCTTCAACTGACCTTCCCGTAATTCTTTGCTGCTCCCATTCATCAGAAACCCAGCAGATGTGCTTGAGAGACCTGAGCTGCCCGACCTGCCATTCTGGTATTTGGTTATTGTGAACTGATCCGGATGAGAAATTCCCACACTGCCACTTACAGTGCTATCAGAAAAAGCGGGTATATCAACTGCCAGATGGTGATTCCGTCTGTGCTGCAAGTATCCATCAATATTGCGGAACAGAACATCATGCTGGCTCCGAGATTGTTCATTAAATACTGGGAATTTGCTCATATCCTTGGGCCCTGGAGTATTGCTGACTCTGTTGGCATGATCACCAAAATTTGGTGAAGTTATGGAGGCTATGCCCTCAAAACGAATTGAGGTAGGATCAGGAAGGTCAGAACTAAACTGAACAGGCATCAAATCCTTTGGAGTAAGAGGGGTGACCTGTGATTTTGGCTTTGCTGGGAGCAGATCTGTTGGCACGCTTTGCTGATAACTCAAAGTAAATGCAGGCCTGATACAGGAAACACCGGCCATGTCCGAGAAATGGGCGACATTTTCCTTGCTGCCACTTTCTCCAGGTAAGCAAACAGAGGGAGTTGAATTTCCAGCTTTCACGTGTGCACTCTCAGGTGCATGTTTTGAAGGTCCTTCGTTACTGGATACCTTACTACAGTGTTCCCCAGGTAAGCAAACAGAGAGGGTCAAATTTCCAGCCTTCATGTGTGCACTCAAGGGTGCTTGTTGCGAAGGTCCTTCCACACTGGATTCCTTGGTGCAAATCCCTTCATACACATTGCTCGACTGGATGACTCCAGGTAAGAAAACCGGGGTGGTTAAATTTCCAGCGCTGATGGGTGCACCACTCTCGGGAGCATGTTCCCTGCTGGATACCTGAATGCAAATCTTTTCAGACGCCTTGCTCGGCTCAATAACTTCAACAATGTGCAGACTGGAGCTGATTTCCAGGTGTGCTCCCACAGGCTGCTCAGTTGAAGAGGCCATGGCTCCATTGCCATGCACACTCACTTGGTTACTGTGCTCTCTGTTCTCCATACTCCCTGTGCTCTCAGAAGAATTGATATCGATAGGAGCACATGAAGGTGTTGATTGATGAGTGGCTTCACTTGACTGTCTATGATCAACAGGAATGTTACAATTGTTAGTATCATCTGCCTTGATCTCACCTTCCTCAATTGTTAGGTCCACAATTTCTGGCCCATCTGATCTATCAGTTTCTGACTGTTTAAAGGTGATGCCAGATAGAAGATGCCCCTGAAGGGTTTTATCAGCAGAAGGACAAACTTCCATCTCCATTTCCACAGGAGACTGTGTGCTACAAATAGGAGAATCCATCTCAGCAGCACATGCCTCGTCAGTATCACTCCTACCTCCACTGGCATCACCTGTCGGCAAACCGGTATCGGTAGTCTGCTGATAGATCAAATCCAAACCAAGTGAAATGCGAGCCTTGCTGAAAAATACCTTGCACTGCTCATATGACTTGCTCTTCACATATGAAGAAATTCGAGCAAAATCCTTCCCATGGTTATTCAGAGCCTCAATGAACAGTGACTTCTCATTGTCGTTCCAATCAACTGAATCAACTTCGCATTCCTGGTCTGAGAGATCGTCTTCCTCATCAAAGCTCTTGTCTGCCTCTGGAGTTGCTATAAGATACTCCATTCTTGTGGCACCTATCTTTTGGCCATGATCAGCGGAACTGGTAATGCATGAGCCCATTCCTTCAGGGGAGAGAGTTCCACATATGCCTGCCAAGACATCAGCAGCTACAGATTCCCTCTCGTGCAGAGATACATTAGCAATGCCATCCTTATCCAAAGATCCTTTGGCCACAGCCGAAACATCAGACTTGCAAGAAGTCCGAATGATAGACTTTTCAGTATCTCTCTCCACTCTGTTTGCATAATCAAGACCATGGGCAGCCACGACTGATGCAGCATTTCCAAGCATATCAAGAGATGCAGCATTCTCAGGATTCCATTTCTTTCCAGATTTTGTTCCTAGGTAATTGCCGGTGGGTTGTTGCTGCCGAAGATCCAGAAGTTTCTTAACTTCTCGGAAACTGTCAGATTTATGGTGCTTGTAGTAGAACTCAACACAATCAGCCGTTGTCTTGTGCTGTAGAAAATTGGAGATTTTAGAGAAATTCTTGCCAAATGAAGCAAGCATCTGCATAAAAACTTCCTTCTCTTCATGAGTCCATGGATTTATCACTGACCGCTCCTTCTCAACTGAAACAGGATCCTCAATCAAACCATTCTTGCTGACAAAGCTAGCACTTTCTTTCTCTTTTTCATCTATAATTAATGCTGGCATTTTCAAGTAATTTCTGCAGCGCTTAAACTGAAATTCTGTAAACATCTTGTTTGCAACATCTGATATTTCTGTGGTAGGAAACGTACTCAGATTACCAGCTGTAAACAAAAAGAACACCAAGTCAAATAGGGCTCAAATACAAATGGTATGAAATTGCATGCATACCATAGATACTCATAAGTAAATAACACAAATGTGGTGAGTAAATGCATAAGAGCAGTAAAGGCAGATAGAAGACAAGATAGTTGCAAGCAGAAGTATATTCAAGGGCACATCGAAGACATGCAAAGGTAGTGCAAAGAGAAAAGAAAGAAGAACATTGCAATACTTGTAAAACATGTCCCTTTATGTCTATCATCAAGCCATAAAGTATCAATCTGAATTCACTAAGGCATCCTTTATACAGACATTAAGGCAATACAAACATTAAGGCACTAAGGCCTACTGCAGTGACTTCGTAGGAGGTAGCCAAAAGCATAATAATATGTTATAAAACCAACTTATCCATGTGTAGAAATCAAGGGGGGGAAGGCTGAAGTATACGATCTAAATCCAACTACTCCATGTGTAGATTTCGAGATATTGTTCCATACATAGCAGATTTGCAATTTTGTGTATCTGATAGACAAAATGGTAGGTACTAGTTACATTTTGATGACAGCTGGTGTCATCGGTTTCTAGGAATGAGTCTTTTCCAAGAATTCCCATACGCCCAAGGGAGCTTTTTATGCATCGTCCACAACTTTTTATGCATGAATTGCTTTTCTTTGAAGTGCCACGGAAAAATGTGCGGCAGCTTCAACAACAGGAAGGCAAGGTATATATTAGCATAATACCAAAACATTCGGAGGATGTTCCCTTATAACTTATCTATCATAGCACATTTATTTGATTGACGGCTAAACACCACACAGAACTTTTGAAAGGTCAAAAAAGCACCACTGAAACTACATTTTCTACAAGTAAATAATGGGATAATATGTACTGTACTTTCAATAAGCAGAGGGAAATACTGACCAGGCATGCCCAATCGAGAGCGAATAGACGAGCGTTGCCTCTGAGATCCACTCTGTGATGCACGGTTGCTCTGATCAGTGCGTTTATTAGACTTTGGGCGCTGCTTTCTTACAGAGAGGAGCCGCACATCCTCTTTCCACAGGTGTCGCAGCACCTTGAACTTGAAGGTAAGTGCTTGCTCTTTGAATCTTAGTCTATTTTTATGTATGCCAAGCTTCTTTCTGACACTCAGGTCATTCTTCATTTGACTAGATAAACCAAGACATGGTTGACCAGCAGGCAAAGGTTTGAAAACCAGTTCATTAAATTCTTTTGCTATATCATTGTTCACAGCAATAATTGAAGGGATTAAATTACGGCTGTCGATACGGTGTGAGCACTGCCTGGTTGATAAGGCATTGCTGCCATCTGCTTTCATGGAACTAACATTATCATGGGACAAACTAGGCTCCTGCCTCGGACAGTGGGCATCAATTTGAGACCCAGTTCCTTCAGAAGGCTTCAATGGGGCCACATCTGCAGCTACAGCAACCTCAGCTTCAGCAACAACTCCAGGACATGCAACACTCTCTCCGGATGAGACTGCAGTTACACTGCGAACAGGAGCTGTCACAACATCCATCAAGTCTACACCGTTAGCATCAGCTTCCTGCTCCACAGGAAGCTTGCAAGGAGTGAGCACCCCTTGTTCTTTAGGGGAAGATGATGTTCCACAGATTTCAGGCTTGGCTAGAACTTTTGATGTCTCAGGCTTGGCTAGAACTTTTGATGTCGCAGGCTTGGCTAGAATTTTTGATGTCCCACTAGAAGGTGAAGGATTTTCTGCATCTTCAAGAGCCTTGTTTTCTGATTCAGTACTCACTGATTTAAGTTCACATTCCAATGAATCAATCTCAAGCTCAGTCTTCTCAAGCTCCCTGGCTATGTTTTCTTTCAGTAGCAATAACTTACTACTATTTGTCAGTCTTCTCGAATCCCCAGAACAAGAATCTTCATGTTGAAGTAGTTCAGCAAGGACGTTGGCAAGGGAGCCAATGCGATCACCATCAAGTTGACCTAACTTAATGGGGATTTCATCGTTGTAAGCCTGGACCTCCGCCCCAGGGATATCTTTACTGGACATTGTGACTGTATTTGCCGTCAGTTCACAGGATTTATCTTCAGGCACTGCAGCTAAACGTGAAGGTAACAGTCAGTTTTCAAGACATTTGATGTGCATGGTCTCTCCCGGCTCAGTTCCATTATAAACATGAACAAAGTATCTTAACGTAGCATGACAAAATGAAGATGTTGAGGACCAGCAATTAATCTACCGTCGCAACAATATAAATTTAACAGGAAGGTGTCTATTAGTGGATGGAACAGACATACTGTGGATATGGTGAATGCAAAACCAAGGGTAAAAGATGTATTGTGGAGGACCATT